GAAATAACACAAAAAGTGTGAAAAATAAAACAATAAGGCAAAAGGAAAGGTGTACTGTGCCTTGTGACCTCCAGGCTGGGTTTACCCTATTTAACAGGGTCCAGCCCGAGAAAAAGAAGAGCCGCTCCCACAGAGGTGAGCATACTGGACTGACACATGGCCAGAATACCTGTCTGCTGTATATATTTATTATAGGGTATATATTCTATATCAAAAGAAGCTTAACACTCTAGAAATAAAGTCTACAGATTTTGCAAAATGATGAACTGTTTTTGGCATTATGTTGATTATTTGATCACTTAACATTGTGACAGTGATACAGTCGAGTGACTGACTGTTGCATAAGTTCTAAATCAATTCATTTGTGACAGAGGTTATTGGACACAGGTAATGAGATGTTTTAACCTAGTGAATGTCCTCACGCTGCTCATATAACAGCTAAAGAAAGTGAAAGTTATATCATGGAAGCCTTTCTTGCCAGATGTTAGCATCATTTAACATTTGTGGGATAAAATGGGATTATGTGTGTCATCTAGAGCTCAGAGACCAGTGAACAGGAACATACTTGTCTAGGCTTTATGAGAAGAATTGGATTGAATCTCACAAGACTGCATCTGCAACTTGGAGCAAAGCAGACATTGCAGATGTACAGCTTGTATTGTTTTCATCAGTGATCACACCTGTGAGATTCTCAGCAGAACCCCTGTTGATTAACCTTGTTGATAAAAATAATGAATTTACCTAAACCATGTCAATGTCAATGCATATGCTATTAAAAGTTGTCTGTCTTCCAATAACTTTATTGTAGGTAGCAATAACTTTAAGTGATACATTTCTTTTACTGCATAATACAGTACAGTACTGTATATACAGTCTATGCTGTACAGTGGTGGCTCTGTGGCTAAGTATCTGCACCTGTGGCTGGAAGGTTGCCAGTTCAAATCCCATGGCTGGCAGAGAAATCCTACTTTGTTGGGCCCCTGAGCAAGGCTCTTAACCGCAGCTGCTCCAGGGGCATTGTACAATGGCTGACCTGCGCTCTGACCCCAAGCTTCTCTCCTTGCCTGTGTGTCTCATGGAGAGCAAGCTGGGGTAAGTGAAAAAAGACAAATTCCTAATGCAAGAAATTGTATGTGGCTAATAAAGTTACCTTATCTTATATACACAGAGCTAATGCAAGGATGTTTACTTTCAAAGTGATTAGTATACCTTTAATTTTTGGTTTGATATAAAAAAGTTGGATTTTGAACTTACACATAGTGTACTTTTCCCATTGGAGCTTTAAATCCTTTTTCTGAAATGAAAGTTACTCCTTTATTTTCTCCCCCCACCACCACTAACACAGTGCTGACTTTGTTGTAGCAAGCAAGTATTTCCACAGGGATTGTATAGTGTGTGTATATACGCTTGCCTGGGCAAGAATCAGTCTGTGTTAGACCAGTACATTCTAAGGTCTACCAAAACAGTTGCACTTATGATGTGTATTTGGTACTTTGGTTGTCTTCATAAGAGTATTGAAATAAACAATTATTAAAGAATAATAATGAATTGTTTCTATAGCCCTTTTCATTCCAGAAGTACCTTCGTTGTTATTTATATGGGAGGAAGCCCACTTTATCTACCATTGAAATGCATCACCTACAGTATATAGGAGACAACACCCTTTATACAGTATCTTCCATATTTATTAGTCAAATTCAAAACCAGTTATAATTGAGGCTATTAAGGTATTTTACAGGTTTTAAGATTTAAAGTAAAGGATACATAAATATGCATTGTGCAGGAGTGTTTTTACATGAAAGCCTTGCTAGAAAAAGATTTCATGAAGACTGTTGTCAGCAAAATAAACAAATGCTAGCACATGAAAAAAAAGTCGAATTTGAGCTTGCAACTTGAGGAGATGTATCTTAATATAATTTAGGGAGCAATTTTCTGTTTTCATTGGTTCATCGTGGCAGTGTTCACTGGTTGTCGATGAAAACCATCACTCTGTGATGGATGATATTGGTTGATGAACGCATGGAAATATTAAAGTAGTCAGCAGTAACATCAAAGGGATATGTGTCTTCCAGCACATGTACTGTAAGTGTACAGATAGATAGAATTTGCAAAACTAAAGTACATGATCTATTCAATGTGAATCATGACTATTAAGCATTTTATTTGATAAAAAAATTATAGAATTCAAAGTGTTTTCACCAAATTAATGTTCATCCTTTTTTCCTGTTACATCTCTAGTTATTTAATAAAGTTTTTTGTTAATATCTTCAAAGAAATTCCATTGTGATTTGCAGTCCTTCCTCAATGTCCACCGGTCAGCTTCACACTTCTATATTTTACTAAATATTAAATATTCAAAACTGTAATTCCTGCAAAGTTGAATTAAAAACCTGCTCACTAATGCAGAAAGACAGATTCCACAACTATATATTGTACACAGTTATACCTATTTTAAATGAATACACAGTCCATCCTTTTAAAACATTGGAAAGTAGTTCTGGAAACTCCTTCTTAGTCTTCCTTTATCTGATAACGAAATAGTGTATACTGAAATAAAATGTGTAGAATTAAGAAAACAAGAAATTACAAATATTTTGTAATAATTGAAAACATCTTTAAAATCCCAAAACATCCACAGTATACTGTATGTCCATTGTATTATTGGAAAAACTCAATTAAATAAGCATCTTCTGAAGATGATGATAGGATGACTTTTTTTTAATGTAGCATAACTTTTGCCCATATACAATTGTTTGCATTAGAAATTTGTCTTTTTTACATAACCAAAGCTTGCACTCTCCACAGGCAGGGAAAGAGAAGCTTGGTGTCAGAGAGCAGGACACCCCTGGAGCAGTTGGTGTTGCTAAAGGGCCCACTGGAGTAGAATTCCTCTGCTAGCTGTGGGATTTGAACCAACAACCTTCCAGTCACAGGCACAGATCCTTAGCCATAGTACCACCACTTTGCCAGGTAGCAAGGTAGAATTTTAATCAAGCCAAGTAGGCAATGTACAGTACAACTGAGAATACATTTAGAATATTGTGCACAATTTTGATCACTACATTGTAGAAAATATATTGCTGCTCTGGTATTAGTCCAGAGAAGAGCAACCAGCTGCATTAATGGTCTTAAGAATGCCCTACATTTACAAGCTGAAGGAATTAAACCTTTCTAGTCTTGAACAGAGACAACTGCAAAGGACCTGAAATGACCCCCTTTTACTTGTATCTGTTCTTAAAATAATTTGTTTCTCTGAGTTTTTTTTTATCAGTTAACAGTCTACCCTGCAATTTTTGGGTAACTCCCAGTACGATACCATCACAGATGGCTGTTTACCGATACACACTTAATCATTCAACTCCTCTCTTGCCGGAATGAGGGACCCGAAAGACTGTAGGAGTGGGCTAATCTAAGTCTGTTAACTCGAGCACGTCTTGAACTCTGCAGAATCTTATGTAAAGCCCTCACACTCAGGTGATACGTCTCAGCAACCAAAACCAAGAAAACACAAATTATCTATGAGACTTAATATCACTGTGTTTAACATGGTTACATTACCGGATTTAATCAACATTTTAAGAATTTATCTGGAAATAAAAGCTAAGTTTTCCATAAGGCGCAAGTGGGGATGTGTCATTTTTCATGATATGACGCACATTTTTCGTCCACCCGTTTAATCATCAGAGAATAAGATAAGAACCAGAGATGTCTCCCACAAACAAATAAATAAGAAGATAAATCGGCTGCCTCAGAAAACGATTAAGACCGACAAATAAAGTGGTCCAGCACTGCGCGGTTAACGGTCACTATCAGACCGTGACATTTGTTCAATCCTGTATTTAGCCTTTTCAAAGACACCGCTTTAGATATTTTACAGAGACAATGACATGGAAAGGGAAAATGGCAGGGGAAAACGGCTACTTTAAAATACTTAACGTAATATCAGTGGGTTTTTTTTTCAGTATATATACGCCTTTTGATACTGTATATATATTTTTTTCTCTGCGAGTTTTTAACCAGATGCCGGTATTGATATATTCTAAACACCTACTTAGATGTCGGTAGCTACTGCATGGTTTAAAAGATAAGGCTTAATTATACTCTGTTCGCATTAAATAAAACACCAGATTATTTTACTCATTCTGGGCGATCTCAGATATACAGTACTGTCCAGTATATCTGATATCAATGGCAGTGTTGCATTTTCCAGAAATTAGCTGCTGCTTTTAGTTTTTTTCCCTCAATTTGATACAAAACACCGATAAACAAGTTAATATAATTTTCCAAATATATATTAGAAGGACGCAGCTGCCACAACAAACCTGAATCGGCAGGATGCGCACCGTTGTGATACAGCGCTGGGTTGCTAGCGAAGGCGCTACATTAACTATTTCAGTTGTGCGACTGTCTACTGATCGTAATACAGAAGAATTATAAACTTGGAGGATTCATATCACGGTTTTACGTAACATCGATAATTCCCTGCATTTTGTGACGACTGCTTTCGCTTTGTGTTGAACAATTTAAATGTACTGTAATCTACTCTGCAGAAGCCCAGATGGTAACTGTAACGAAATCACAATGCACAATGAACAAGGAACTCGAGAAGCGAGCAGACAAATTTCTTTCCGATTAATGTTTTTCGTACTCATTTACGTGCATATCAAGAAACTGAACAGAACTACGGTGTAGCAGTGCAATAGAAAGTACGGTTGAGTTATTTACAACTGGATCTTATTTTCTAAAATATAACAGTATTTGCGTTTCCTTGTGTGTGTGGACTGTAACTATTTCGGGAAGTTGGCACTGGCGAGGGCTGATATGTTTGAAATAATTAAAATATGCAGAATCATTCCTGCTGTAATAGTTTTCTCTTTAATGAAAAAGGGATATTTATTTTTCGAAAGCAATAAAGATGCAATTACTGCTCTAATGCAGCTATGAAACACATGCAGAACTGACTTCATCTATCTCTCCTCTCTCCCTCTCTCTCTTCCGGGCGCAGCTTTGGCAGCTTGGCTCCAGTTCAGCTCCTCCCCCATGTGGAGGTTCACTTGATCAAATCCTTGAACGTGAACAGTTTCGCTGAAAAGCACTTTTTTAAAACCGAGAGACTACAGCGGCCACAGTAACAATCTCACAAGTTCCGAAGGAGTTGTGCGCTCCCTTAATCGTTAAAAGGGTTTTGCGAAGAATAATCCCTAAATTTCTACCAGCAATGGAGAGGGGGGCTGGCTTGTGCCCAGGCTTGTACTTAGCTCTATGGACCTGGCTTCTGATCTCCACTCATATCCTGATTACTGCCAAGGCTGAGATAACTTGCACATCATGCCCATCACGGGCTAAACTGAAACGGGGGGGATTAATGTTGTTCACGCGTGTGGATGCAACGGAGACAGGGACGCTATCTTCTCAGCAGATTCGGAGTCATTCCCAAGTAGCCGGGGATTTTAGCTCTAAGACTGGAAATGGAAATGGTTCGGATGCAGCTGCTCCTGGGGATGTGATGAAATTGGCTAAGGGTGTCAGAATGGCTCGTTCAAGAGTGGATGTAGTGTATTCCAAAGTAGCCTTGAGGAGTTCGCTTGAATCCGGGGAGAAAGAAGAAAAAAACACTAGTCAAGAAGTGACCACCGAGGAGATGAAATTGGCTCATTTTAGAAACAAAGCAGCGGTAAGAAATAAACTTTCCGAGGCCGATGACAAGACCAAATCTGAGGACACCAAGTTTCCGAGGGTGAAGAGGAGTGGACCCGAACTGTCAAAATTAATGGAAAAGGTGAAGACCAGTAGCAGTGCTCAACTGGAAGGAAGTCATTCAGATGACAAGAAAAGTGCTGACCCTTTGCTGGGTGGACACAGACTGAGCAGGTCCGAGTTTAAATGGACCAGGGATGAAAACAAGGCAGTAAACGCCAGACAAGACGAGGTGAAGCTAATCAGCACTACTTTCTCCCTGACAGGAGATTCCGCTCACAATCAGGCAATGGTGCACTGGTCAGGACACAACAGCAGCGTAAGTAAGATAGTTTGTTAGTTTAAAGGCCTACAAAGCTACACGTGAAATATTGGAGTGGAGTGAATATAATGTCATAATTTCCCAAGCCCTTATGTTTCTGTCGTGGTATACCGTATAAACAATTCAAAGCGCAATTGTAAGTCCAGTTACAGATGTGTCTCTACCAGTTAATGCATGCCGTTTTCTCCAGTAACAGGTGCACTGATTTTTGTCTGCTCCCATTTTTTGATCCGTAAGCAGTACCTAAATTAATCAATTTTATTTGGCTTATTCACAGGAAAAATTATCGAATGGAATTTGTTAAAAGCGGTTTTTATAGTATGTAGGACCTCTTTACATTGCATGCATTTGGACTTTTTTACAAATTGTGTGAGAACGGTCACGCAAAGATTTGCAGCAACTCATTTCATTTACCAGATGCACATTTTCACACTACATTGCTGCTGTTGATTGCCTTTTGATGGTGGCTACTTATATTTCATCCTGCAAGCAAATTACCCCCAATGAACTGCAAACTTTTTTGTACATTAGAACATGGTTAACAAGATTAACCTAATAAAGGGTGATTAACTATGGGCACGATGTTAGATCGTTTTATTAAATTTCTAGGATTCATATGATTTTAGAACAGTTGCACTCGATTTTTTTAAACGTGGCTGCAAATATGTCTGTACTCGTTTCTCCTAGGTGCACTGCTGTTTTCTTGTTACAAAATAAACTAGACGGATACAAAGCTAATGTTTGACAGGTTGTTAACGGGTTAGAGGGTTCAAAATTAACAAATTTATTGTCCCCAACGGAATTAAGAAATCTGCGCGCAATTAAGTTGATTAGAAAAGGTTGTAAATATTTCTAGGTATCGGGTAAACTATTGCTGGGCAACTTGCTAACACCAGGCAGGAGCGAAAGCTGTTTTACCGAGGAATTCCCTTTATATACTGTAGGTCCTCTATATATTATTAAGGTAAAGATGCAAGGAGAGACGAACTATAGAACCCATGAACGTGTAAAAGGAGCCTCATAACAACAGCAGTGTAAAATAATAATAAAAAAAAACATCCAAAGATTATTCTCACCACAGCCTACAAAAAATAAACATCTTCAGGTTGAGTCTGTCGTGATATACCGTACTGCGCTTTTAGATGTGATTGAAATGCAGCCAATAAAATACTGAACTAGAACAGTAAGCTGTTGCGACATCAGTGTATTGGGATTTTTATTCTGTACATGTTTATGTACTGTACATGAATATAATACATTGAATGCACCCTCACTGGACTAGTAGTTGGACAAAGAGGAACACCAAACGTCGGGTATGCCACCAAGTAACAATCGTAAAACTGTATTTCTGAGATTTTCCCAGCGATAGTACAAACTTTTATTGTATAGTATATTGTGTACTTTATGCGGATTGCCTTTAGCGCTGTTGGTGTTACTGCGGGACATTGTAGTTTGGGCCAGCTGCTATATGCTGTAAATGTGTAAATATTTTTTTGTTCTAATACAGCGTTATTAGTTTCTTCATGATAGCTTCACTGTGCATCAATAACATACATTTGTTATTCAGATTGGTCTTTTTAACTACTATTTTAACTACTGTCATTTCAAAACAAGGTAAATCTCAATCTCTTGCTATCTTCTATAAAGGAAAGTTTCACTAACTTAAGAGGTCAGAAGGTTTAAGCAAGGATATACTTAAAACTAATTCGAGTAGTTTAGCTTCTCGTGCTGGTAATCACAGGGTTGTCGGTATACTACAATTTATTTGAAGGGCCTTCATATTTAATTTTGCTGTGTAACTGAATTTTGGAACAATGGGCTGTGCAAACATCAAACTGTAAATTGTGAGATGTGGTTACACGACTTTACCAGAAGGTGGAGCAGTCGATAATTACTGTAAACAGGCAGTCTCCCCCTTCAAACCCCAAATGATGATCCTGAAATAAAAGGATTTGGCATTAGGGATTTAAAATATCAAGCACTCCGCATGAAAAATACCCAGGGGCACCTATGCAACAGTCCTTTATTTCTGCCCAATCTGGACTTGCCTAAGTATAAATGTTATTTTATAGTGATAACATTCAAACAAGATGTATAGTAAATGACATGATGCAGTGCTTTCTCCCCTTATATTCCTGATTAGCTTAATAGGATCATGTTAATTTATTAATTAACATTATAATTGTTAATTATATAAGGAGGGGGGGGGGGGATAAATATGGTAATGAAAAACAAGTTTTTAATTTCCTTGACAAACCAGTAATCCTATTTGAATGCTGGCTGTTTAGTTCTGATTCTGAAGTCCATTATTATGCTGCAAAATACCACTGAAATAACTGGTACAGTATATAGTCAATAAATCCAATATTCTCAAACAAAAGCTAGTAAACCATAATTCTAGCATTTCTCTTGTTACATATTTCCTTTTCAGATAGTACACATCAATGTATCATTTTCAGCCACTAAGAACCTACAGATTATGAAACCTACAGTACATTGCAATTTACTTGCAATTCAGCAGAGGATACATTAAAGTGTAACAAATATCTAAAGTCTTTTGTGTAAAAAAAACGTCCTACAGTAGTTAGGATTTGATCTATACATATTCATTCAATTAAATAATTAGATTTTTTGTATTTAGTGCTTCACCGTTTACTGCTGGAATGGAATATTACGTATTTGGACGATAGATGTTTAACCTGTTAATAATAACGAGACCTGTATAAGGTCATATAGGCTACAAAGCTACTTATTATCCCCTACTGGCAGCCTGCACTGTTAACGTGCAGTAACTAAATCGAAGTGTACCTTTGGAAGCAGGTCGTTAATGAAGCTTCCTTTAAACTTAATTTTGGGTGATCCCTGTATTTTTTCTGCAGGAGGTCATTTACAGGTGTTCTACATCAAAATGTCCTGCCTATTTAAATATTTTCTAAATGTCATATTATAACAAAATATATTAATAGTTTAAAGGCTGTGTTTTGTAAGAGAATACTGTAGATCTTCGTTGATGTACTGTACAAAAAGTGTCAAGAAGATACATTTTTTAAAACTAGTTAACAGATGGGCTGATTGTGTATTCTGTATCTGAATGCTGTTTTCTGTAGCCCTCATCCTAGTGGCTACTTAATCATGCTATAACATTCATAACCTTTAAGAACTATTTTTCTAAACAAACACGCAGGGTCCTACAGTATGATGACTTTAATTCTATTTCTGACCCCAAGCCCAACTAAAACTAACTCTAACATACAGAATGCATTATCTTCTGCAATAACAAATATTGTTGTATTATGATACATGTATAGCAGTGGTGTCTTTTTGGAGCAATAATCATTGTATTAGTCAAACAGTTATGAAAATTATATTGGCATATGAGGCTCTACAAAGGCATAAGGCTGACTATGTAAGACTGCATTTAAATATATTGCCACATTTTCATTTCTTATGCTTTTTGGGGACTTTTCTAAGGTCCCAAGTGGGTTAAGTGTAGAGCACCCCTGTGTTGTTGCTGAATGAACATGCTTTAGTGAGACCAGTAGTCACTGTGTTGTACTCTAAAGCCTTAATAACTACAGTATCACGAGACTTACTGGGATTTCTCCCTTGTGAAGGACTGGCTACTTGTGCGTGTTTCCCACTCTTCTCCTAGTTTAGCACTTAATCTCCATTTGTTTCATCCTGATTTTGCTCATGGATGGTGTGACGGACCCTGAAGTCCTCTATTTAACCACTGTATAGCTTCCAATGGGCAGCTAGGCAGGAAGAATTCCCTCTAGATTGCCTTGTTTTTCTTACTTAGATGACCCAGTAGAACTGTCTCACATAGCAATTACCATCCCTCAAATACTAACTGAGCCAACTGTACCCTTCACGGCAAGAGTCTAGTGTTTTACATGCAGTAACTTGCACTGTTCTTTCCACATGGGAATTTAAAAGCATGCAGAAATGCAACACTGAGATCAACAATGGAATTAACCAGATGATATTTTAAACACCTATATCAAACAAAGTCACAGAAAATACCAACATAAATACAGATCAAAGAATCATTATACGGTTTGTATTAAGTACTAAGTCCCCCTACTAGCTCTGTTGGTAGAGCATGAGACTCAATCTCAGGATAGTGGGTTCGTGTCCCACGTCGGGCACAAGGTTCTCTAACAAGTGGGCAGCAGAAGTATGGGGCAGTGTTGGCGGCAGAGGGTCACATTTCTGTGACAACGGCAACAACAGTAGCACTATCTGCGTGGAAGAAAGGCCTGGCAATCTCCTTCTGTATCTTGCCATGAACACTCCATGGAGAGTGACGGGGGAACTATCCATAGGGTCTCCATGAGTCGGCACCGACTCAACGGCACTCATCCCATTCATCCATTAAGTACTAAAAGTAATGCAACATGAAAACATTGAAGCAAGTACCTTACCAGGCTCTGGATAGGGTGCTGTGGGATGTTCTCCCTCTCATGTGTGGCTGCAGCCAACTAGCTGAGGCTGATCACAGCTGTCTTTTGTTGGTGACTTTGGCTTGTTGGTTTCACAGATGTTCTGTTGGTCTTGGGTCATTAGCAAAAGCTTCAGTGTTTTCCTATTCAGTAAGGATGCCCTCGATCTACCACAATAAAAAAAAAAGTATTTTTATGGTGGAAGGTGATTCGTTTTCAAGTCATCACACTTCCATTGCCCCACCAGCTGGCTTGGACAATGCAACAATCAGTGTAATGCTCCCCATGATGTCTCTAAGCAGATATTCACCTGCAAGTTATCTTTTACCCTTGACAGATATGATCATGTCTGTCAAGGGTAAAACATAATTTGTAGGCAAATAAAACACTTAATAGCTCTTTGTTTAGCTCACAGAAGTTCTCTGGCCCATAGGTGGCAATTTTGTCTCGATGCTGCCAGCATGCTATCCCTGAATGGCCTACTAGAATACAGATCATTTTCATGCAGTCAATGAGCTGTGTTCCTTCTCTTGATGTTTGAGTTCTGTCTTC